ATACATATCCAGTAAATCTGTGTCGTAGGTGACTCTAATGTTTCTTAACTCCGAGATGTCCTCCTGTTAAACTATCATGGGATTGACGCAGCACAACTTCTGTAACTTTTTCGGTATAACTGTTTGTCAGGTCGTCACTTTCCCATCTCTGGACAAGAATACCATCTTCAAGCTTCAACTGGTCCCATTGTACTCAACAGTTCTTTGTCACAGGGCTTAGAATAGACACCTTCTATCAAGCAGGGCGCAAAACACTTGCTTTTAGGAAATCAACCATTGGCTTCAAATCTTGGTCTTTCTCCTGTTCTGCCTTGATATCTATATTTGGTTCCACTTCACTATCATCAATTCTTTCAGTCGGTTTGACTTCAGCTTGATGGCACCTGTTAGTTCAACCTCTCTTTTGCAGCAATGTCTGCAGTCATTTTTGCAGGGTATTCGGCTCAGTCCATCAGCATTACCATGGAATTTTCCTTCTCTATATTCAATATTATAATTATACTGGTCTATTTTTCCGATCCAACGTGCTAGTTGTCCCTCTGGGTTCTTTAATGATCTTAACCAGGGTAATGCAGCATGGTCTGTCCTAATGGTAAACCTTGCACCATAGAGGTAAGGGTGGAAAGATGTAGCAAGGAGTTCCCTCCGTGTTACGCAGTAGTTCCTCTCTGGTCTATTCAAAACCCTACTGAAGTAGGCCACCACATGTTCGTCTTCGCCCACTTTCTGAGACAACACTCCTCCAATTCCGACATTACTGGCATCACAGTCCAGTATGTACGGCAGTGAGGGATTTCGAAGCGTTAAAAGTGGAGCAGAGGCCAATTTTCCTGGCAAAAAACTGCCCATTGAAACTTCTGGCCTATTTTAGTCAAATCATGTAGTGGAGCAGCTATAGTTGCAAAGTCCTTCACGAACTTCCGGTAATAAGTACAGAGTCCCAAGAAACTTCTTAGCTCTCCCACATTGTCTGGTGTTGGCCAGTCATGCACTGCTTTCACCTTATCAGAATCAGTTTGCAAACCATTCTCACTTACAATGTGGCCTAAGTAAAGCACCTCTTTCTGAAACAAATGATATTTCTTGGGATGGAGTTTGAGGTTTGCTGCTTTCAAACGCTTGAATACTTCCTCCAGCCGGGACATTTCCTCATCAAAAGTTGTTGCAAATACAATAACATCATCCAGGTGCACTAGGGCTATCCTCCATTGTAGGCCTTCCAATACTCGTTCCATCAGCCTCTCAAATGTTGCTGGAGCATTACTGAGCCCGAATGGCATCACTTGGTATTGCCAGAGATCTTGGCCATAACTAAATGCTGTCTTGGGTCTATCTGCTTCAGCCATTTTTACTTGATGGAAACCTGACTTTAAGTCCGGATTTGAAACCCCCCTGGATCCACTTAGGGCATCAAGAGTATCATCAATTCCCTGCAGTGGGTATGAGTCTTTTTCGGTTATGCT